AAAGGTATACCTTTGAATTAGGGAGGTGGGAATTGTTTCTGAGAACCGTGGACTGCAAGAAGAGCCAGTCAATCTTGAATTTTTTAAAAACGACTGTTCCCTTGTGTCAATTATCTACAAGAAGAAATACACAGTTTCATAATGTGATGCGGGGTAGATGTTGGACTATATAAAACTGCTGGCAAAGTTGAGATAAGAAGAAAATGAGACTCAAGTAGATCAGGTGGATGGATAAAATCAGAAAAACTGCTGGGAACGTCCTTGAAAGAGCTTAACATTTGTTAGTAGACAGGTGGGAATCGTCACGCTTTGTCTATCCGGTTGGTTTCAACAATACTGTATCGACAACAGTATGTAGTATTCCCTATAATCAAGACATAGAATAAGTATAGAGTTAAATTTCAAAACACCTCTATAATCACTTTTCTTAACCTACAGACCACCAACTGGCTATTGTCACCCTCACAACCCCCTTCTTGCTCAGTTACCCAACGCTGCTACCCTGCGCCACAACTGGGTAGTTGTGTGTGTGGGGGGGGGAGAAAAGCGGCAGTCTAAGCCATCCCATACCTCCGCACAGCCCTACCGGAGCAAGGAAGGCGCCCCGCTCCACGAGCCCGTCGACTCTGTCACCGGGTGAGAGACGTCACTTCCGCCGGTCATCGTGGATTTCCCTTTACAAGACAATCCTCGCCTTCTCACTTCCTCCTCCCCAGCGGCTTTCTCATTGGTCCGCCCTAATTCTACCTCTTCGGCCCGCCGTGACCTCTGATTGGTAGCGGAAGACGCCAGACGGAGGGAAAGGCGGCGGAGGAGAAAGAGTGAGTGACAATTCCCCCAAGTCGCGGTGGCGGCGGCGCCCCTGGCAGGTTACCAGGGGCGACCGCAGAGGGTGAGAGCCTCCTTAGCTCCGGGGAGAAGCCGGCGAGGAGGAGGAGGAGAAGAAGGAAGAAGGCGCCCCGAGTCTTTCTCCAACCCGGGCTTCCCTTCTCCTGGGTAAACAACCTCGGAGGAAGGCTCCTCCCTACCGGAGCTCCCGCAGCCAAAACAAAACATCTCGGGACTGCCTGAATATAGTCCGGCGCTCAGGCGCGCCCAGTCTATAAAGGGAAAGAGGGGAGAGGGTGGGTGTCCCTCGGCAGCGGAGGCTTCCGACCCCCGACCCCAGCCCCATCTAGCAAGCGAGCCCCAATGGCCAGGTCCTCCGCGGGTTGGTTACCCATCTTTGCTCACCTGGCTAGAGTGTTCCCCCCCGCCCCCGTCCCGGATGGACTGGCCTCTGCCGGCTTCTGCGCTCTGCGGGTCTGGTGCAATTGCTGAAAAGAAGGCGGCTCTCCTAATACTTACATAAGGGGTCCCCCCCCATTCCCCTGTTGGAAGCCCCACTGTAAATGTGTTTTGGGTTATGTGTGTGTGTTTTCCTCCAGGCGTCAGCCCACCAGATGAGAAAAACGCTGTAGAAATTCAAGGCTTAGAGACCCCCACCATGCCGCTTGGTCTTGCCAGCCACAAAGCAAACAGAATGTTTCTTCAGCATTAGGGCAAGATGGAACAGGTTAGTTTTTGTACCGTTTTTGATCTTATGCATTGGGAAGGGGTTTATTTTAGAATAGAATGAATGAGCTGGAAGGGGACCTTTGAGGCCTTCTAGTCCAAGCCCCTGCTCAAGTAGAAGATCCTATACCATTTCAGATAACTGACTGTCCAATCTCTTATTTAAAAAAATATCCGGTGATGAAGCGGCACCCACAACATCTGAAGGCAAGCTGTTCCACTGGTTAATTGTCCTCGCTGTTAGGAAGTTTCTCCTTAATTCCTTAATTTTGTCATGCTACGATGGAGGCGGTTTGTCAGAATAATGGTAGGCAGCAGGGTAGCTGTTGATTCTTGTGGGTGGGTTGGGTTGCCTTTGTGCAGGACAAGGAAAGACAGATTTTATCCTACACACCAAGAGAAGCATCTAAAGTTTGGTGGGATTGTTTTTATGTGCAGAAGTGGCAACAATGCAAGCATGTGCTCAGAAGGCAAGAGCATCATCTGCCATGCTATCGTATTCCTGGGACCTTTTAACCCAACAGCATCAGAATATTGGTAAGGGAACACTAGTTGATTTTCAGTTAGCCACCTAACAGGGCCCTTTGGTACAATTCTTGTAGAGAATTTTTGACTAGATAGATTGTGGTCTTACCCAAAAAAGACGTGTGAATGCATACATATATAACAGGTGACATAGATCAGTTCCAGGTATGCATTCTTGCTTTTTGCAATTGAAATACATTTGGAACTGCAGTAATTTTGTTTAAAATCTGTGAGATAATATCACAAGACTGGAGCAGGCTTGTGTTCTGTTGTTGTTAAGTTTTCTAAATGAATATGATGCAAAATATAAATATTGTTAAACTGACTGGAAATAGTAATAATTCTGTTAGATTCAGTGACACCCACACACAGACATATAACAGCCAAGGAAGTTTGATTTTAGTAGAATAATCTTTTTAAAAAATGAAATAAGTAAAAAAATAAATAAGAACAATTAGTAAACTGAAAAAAGTTTTAAAAGGTTAAGGATACTTGGAAATTATGAGAGCTCAGAATTATATTATGTTTAGAAAACATGTCAGTTTAAATAACATGTTCTTTAATTAACATTAATATGTGTGTGTTATGTGTTATGTGTGTGTGTGTGTGTATGTATATGTGTGTGTGTGTATGCATACATACATACATACATACATACATACATACATACATACATACATACATACATAC